ACGTTGTTCTCCGCTCCAAGTGCAATTGGAAGGATCGCCTGATCCACACCTTAAGCCCAGCTGGACTTGGAGGTATGGGTCAACATTCGGCGTTGTGAGGGGCGCCCTCTCAATCCTGGTGCGGTCCCCTTTGCTGGCACCCTGGCAATGGATGCCAGTCTAACCGGTTGGGGGGCTACTTTCTTCCCTCTGCGTGAGTCCTGTCCCCTCCTTGCGAGGGGTTTCTAGGACCGTTCCTAGAAGCACATCAATGTGCATGAGATGCAGGTGGTGGAGCGGGCCATTGGCAGCTTTTTTCCTGAAGTTTCCTGTGGCCTTTTTTCGAGGCTCAAGTTGCCTATCAACAACCATGTAGTCATGTATTGCCTCCGTAGCGTGACTACCCATTCCATGCAGCTCCTCCACCCCCTCCGCCAGCTTCATTAGGTCTGTATGGAATGCCACCTCTTGCTCGACCTGCACTACATTCGGTCGGAGGACAACGTCATACCGGACCGCCTGCCGTGGGTCCGGGTGGCAGACGACTACCAACTGCATCCAGGCATTTTCTGCTAGCTGGCGCAGTGGTTTGGTCGCCAGACATGCGACTGCTTTGCTTCTACGGCAAATACCCTCCGCCCATGGTACAATAGCCTGCACGTGGATGTGGGGAGCACGGGGGCGGATGCCTTTCTCCAGGACTGGACGGGGGACACCAATTGGTGCAAACCCTCGTGGTGCCTTCCTCCCCAACTCGTCTCCTTCCTCACCGCCCGGCCCACCGTGGAGTCCGCCGTCATCACGCCGGATTGGCCGAGCGTGCTTTGGTTCCAGCCGCTCCGGACTCTTGTGGCAAAGGACCTTCTGATTCCCTGCCGTCTGGGGATGTTTCGCCCCGGGGATCCGAGTCTTCCGGGCGATCTTCCCACACCGAAGTGGAACCTTCAGGCATTCCACATCCTTCCTCGGAATCCACTTTAAGCGCCGGCTCCCGGGGCCCCTCTGGGGGGGCTGACCTTTCCCCAGACAAACCATTGCCGGTGGAGGCGATGCTTGCGGACCATCCCCTCTATGGACTAGATGTGGACGGACTTCTCCAGTCGGACTCTGCCTGGATGCGGTCCGATTTTTTTGTCTTTTTACATGGAGTCGACGCGGCGCTCGATGCACACCAAGTTTGCCAAGTTCCAGGCTTTTTGTGCCTTTGCAGAGCTCCAGGCGCTTCCTGCCTGCCCGTCTATAATCTACCGCTACATTTGGTTCCTGTGGGAGGAAGGCCGGGTGGGCGTCCGCAGCCTCCCGCAACACTTGGCCGCCATTTCCATGGTGCACCAGGTGGCCAGGCATCTCCATTTCTCCGCGTTCGCCCGGGTGACCCGCTTGCTCACCTGATCGTGGCGTCACCAATGCCCGGAGCCGGCCTCCTCCCATGCTCCGGTGCTAGCATCCCTGATGCTCCGCATTCTGGACCTCGGCCTTTGCACCGAGGACCTGGGGTTGCTGCGGGTGATGGTCTCCGCCCTTCTCGACTTCTTGTTCTTCAACCAGGCCCAGAGCGGCCACTTCATTATGTTGGATGATGTGCGGGTGGCGGATGGCATCGTCGTCTTCCGGGAGCGCCGGACGGTCCGGCCCGGACCAAGCTGAAGAGCGGCATGGACCCGGCCGTCCACCAACGTTCTTGGCCCTCCCGGGGAGCCCCGAAGATTGTGGATCTCTGGCGTGGTTTTCGGCTCGATGCGCAGGCGATGTGCCCGCCGCGGCGCCCAATCCGGCTGGAATGGCCTCCTCCACCGAATGACGGCGGGTGGTCCGGGGCGCTCGTTCCTTCTGGGTGCGAAGTGTGGGCCCAGTCTTGCGATCAGCCGGGCGCGGGGCGGCAGCGCGTGCAGTGGGTGCGCGACGCCGTTGCGGCCTGCGGGTGCAGCCGCGCGGAGGCGAGTGGTCAGCAAGAGTTACAACTGTCAGGCATCGGGGCCACCCTTTGGCGTGCCCCGCATCATGTGACAATACGGACAACGTCACCATATAGATAATATCTCATCCCCCAGTACGGTTGCGGAGGCGTCCTTAAGTACTGTAACTTCTAGTAGCTATATCTCCACTATTGCTAACCCGAATGACTTGATTCAAGAACCTAGGGGTTCCTAATAAGCTCAACTAAGGAATGAGATAGTTTATTAATGTTCATTGTACTTCCCAGATACTCATAACCAAGGAAACATACTACCCCCTGTGCTTTACAGCACAATCTCCTTCTCCGATGGGGAGCCTTTCGGGATCGTGCCTGGGCGGACGCAGGCAGGTCGCCGACCCATTTCTTCACCCTCCCGGGCAAATGCAACCCATCCTCCCGCAGGGTTTCTATGTGGTTTCGGCACTTCCTGGCCTCCTCGCCGGATCTGCACCCCGGTGCTTTCGATCACCATGGCATGTGCGCGGCTGGGGCGTCGGCCTGTTTCGCTTTGGATGTGCCCAAGCAGTGCATCCGCCATTGGGGCGGCTGGCGTAGTGCGGCAATGTGGTGATACATTGACATGTATCAATCCCGTCAGAGTGGGATTACCGTCTCTTCGGGTGGATGACGATTACCGCCCGTGACTTGCATGACAAGTATGGCCATATCTTCTGCTCCGGAGGAGCTTAGTGTGTCCGAGGGTGATTGGGCACACATGTTGTGGGTATCTCGGGTTGTTTGGGATGAACACTGCTTTCTTTGTAATGTATTGGGCCAGTGTGTGTGTGGACCTGGGTGGGACAAGGAGCCCGGCTCGGCAGAAATGGGATTAACTATCCTATTAATAGGTTTCCGCCCAGGGCGCTGAGGGGCGGGCGCACTCGCTCCAGTTGGACCACTGCTGCTTAAGTATGGTTGTTTTTGGCGGCCCCCGGGGTTTCTGTCCCCCTATACCTTGGGTCAGTGGCCCGTTCGTTGCGTTCAAGGAGGGCCAGGGGTTTTTGGCGCCCTTGGGAGTGACGGGCTTTGGCAGGCGCGAGCGGGGGAGTCTATTTAGGCTCTCCCCTCGGTCCCCACTCCATCTTGTTTCGCTTCCCGCCCGGCCCTCCCTATTAGGGTGATGTTCGCTTGTGATGGGCAAGTGTGGGAGTTAAGTACGAGGGAACGAGGAGTGGTGGGACTGACTCAAGGATGAGTCTTGTATGAGACTGGCTTAACTATTGGCGAAGCGACTGGGAACACAAGTTGTGGGTACCTCGGGTTGTTTGGGACAAACACCGTTGTCTTTGTAATGTACTGGTTCCCTGTGTGTGTGGACCTGGGCGGGACAAGGAGCGGAAATGTTAAGTCTCTGTCGCGCGGGAACACGTCGGTGGGTCAAGGAGACCGCCCAGAAGCCAATCGTGCGTGACATTCGTGTCACAACCAGGGCTCACGATTGACGCCTCACAACGCACGAAGGCAAGCAGAGTCGAGACACGACCCACACACACCCTGTTTTGAGCCCTTCGATTGATTAAATCTATCTTTGACGAGACGCCCATGCAGCCGGGTCGTCATCTCAGTCTTAAAGGTCTGCACAGGTGGCTCTCATCTAAGACGCGTCTTCTTCAGCACACCACAAAGGACTATGATCAGAACGTCGCAACCGCATCGTGAAAACGTCGACAGACAACCGACACAAAGACAGTCACATAGATTCATGATCTCATCGCCACCAAGCACGACTCGTTGGGTCAGGGGAGGACCCATCTCCACACGACCACGCACACACGTGCCTTCGCCCTCCCTCATCTCGGCTTGCGCCCTGGACACCCCAAACAAATGGTACCGGCACCCGGCCCCCCCTCCATCTCGCCTGTGCATGAACAGTCGGAACCCTTCGTCAGCGTGTATCAGGCGATCCGAAATTTTCTTTCACAAGACACCAAGCAAGAGACCATCGCCAATGGCACTAATACTCCGACGAGCACGTCACAAAGCCCGTTCCCCGCAGTTTTTGGCCCGGTCCCGCAGGCCCAGTCATACTATGTTCGCGTCCACACCACGTCCAGCACACGCATCCCAGCCAATCGCTCCGCCTCTCATCTAATGGACGCTGCTTCGAGTTAAGTTCCTAGCACTAGAATGAAATGGTGACGGGTGCCACCCCGACACAAATCAAACAATCTTGCATTCAAAAATTATTGGCGAAGAGACAGTTCGACGCCCAGAACGGGCGCGTGAACTTCGCATGATGGACTTCACAAAACGAGTGCAAACTGCTGCACAGCGACTTGCTGCGCCTTGAAGGTGACTGAGCGCCTTTATATGCACAAAATGTCCAACGCTCAACGTCCCTTGCCAGACCCGTCACCCTTTCACAATCCCGGTCTTCCGCAGCCACCACCCTCAGCCTGGGTGGGGTGGCGACGAGTTCAAAAAAATAGGCCCCCTGCATCCGTGGCTATCGAGCCTCCATCTGGTCCCCGCGTGTGAGATTTGCACGTACCAATGAAAGGCAATGTCGTATGAACAGTCTTCCAAAATACAAGATGCTCATGCCTTCCCCCCTCTGTTTTTTTGTTTCTTTTTCACTTTTTTTTGCGAGGAGCCCCACAATCAAAGGAAACCTGATCCTAGCACAGTTATCTCCAAGCAGTTCTCAAGTAATCGCCGACCGTGTCAAAACCCGCCTCCCAAAGCCATGGCCAGTGGCTCTGCTCTCCGAAATGAGGCGCCACCTTGAAATCACCCTGGCGCCCACGTGGAACGACGACAAAACAAAATCCCAAGGACCTCTGACCTTTCGAGAGGTCCAATCCCAAGACCAACTCACAAATCCCCTTAACCCCCAACATGCCGCTACAGTAAAAATATCGGCACAGTTTCCATACGACTTCTCACCCTCTCAGCCAAGTGTAATCTACTGTTGTGTTCAGTCACAGTCAGCTAACCCAGGAAGAGGCCCCACCATTGGGCTTCGCTTATATATTCAAGGACGCCCGGGAGAACTCCACTGTGGTCTTAAGAGAACAATGAAATCACAGCAGTCCAAAGAAGCACGTGACATGAACACCTGAGATCACACTGCGTCATCGGAAGACTCTTTATTGCTATCATTACCAGAAGCCGGGGAAGTTGCTGTCTGGATCTTTCTAAGCTGGACAGACAAACGCACACGCTCTGCAGCAGTCGTCAGATTGTATATCAACTTGTTGAGTTCCTCAGGAGACATACCATCCAACAGGTAGCCTTGCAGCCTGCAACGCAAGCACAGGCGCATTTTTCAAAGTGTGAAATCTTGCCAACTGAAATCTGCCATCTGAAATACCGCTACCTTTCCGGCTTCCTGCAGCCACCTCAAGGCACAAGGGCCCTTTGCAGCCTGACAAGCAGCAACAGGGCCACAGATTTCAAAGGCAGCGGCACAAACGCAAAACAGTGTGCAGAAGAGAAGGGCGTCGCAAAATCGGCAGTTCGACGCTCAGTGGCGAAGCTAGCAGTGCAGTCTGCATACAAGCTTAGCACTGTGTACACCGCAAAATGCACCGCACAGCCAACCTGTTGTTTTGGAGCTCGAGGTGTGCATGCTCTGCCTTGATCTGCTCGTTCTCTTGAGACAGACCCTTCAGCTGCCTAGCAACCTCGCGTCCCATCATCTGGATCCTCTCCTGCTCCTCTCGCTGACTGGCAAGCTGCTGATCTTTGCGCACAAGCTCCTCCATAGCAGTGTGGACCTGGTGCTCCAGTGCAACCAGACGCGCCTGCACATCGTCCTCCATCGTGTTCTCGTAGGAACCAGACCACCTGCTTGGAACAGCAGTCCTACATCTTGAGGAATTGCACTTGCTAGAATTGCCCATTAAGGGGAGTCTGCTGGGCGACAAGAAGATAAAAAAGGCATGCTCTGGGGCGCTGTTTTCATTTACACTAGTTGGTTCACCAACCAGGTACCAATTGCAGTGTGGCAAAGCAGCGGCAGGCATTACAGCATTCACAGTCGGCCTTTTCTAATATGGCTCACTTCAGCAGGCACTTGGACAAAACATGTTGGAAGTGCACCAGTGGTTACCACAGCAACAATTGCTGGGCTATTCTGCAGAAAATGCAATGATGTTTGATACTTGACACTGTTATGTTGCAATTTCTCATCCCCAAAATAGCCTCAAACACACAAGGGGCACCATGATCTGAATCAAATGCACAGCAGTCTATCACTTGCCTTGCGGGTGACACTTCAGAGCTTGCACACACAGTTGTGCTGCAAGTCGACGCCAAGGCAGCATCGACGCCAGAGGAAGCCATGGGGCTGCCAGATTGGGCCTCTTCCGAAGGGCCAAACACTTGAGCAGCTGGGGCACCTGCCCTCCTGGCAAGTGGCTCAGGCTGCTCTTGGCCCATGCCCTCACTGTAGAGGTAGTCGCGCTCCTTCTTAACACGCTTCAGCTGGACCTTCAGCTTCACAACCTCATCAAGGAGGCGCCTGTTCTCACCCCGCACTCCAGAGAGGGTGTCCTGGAGCACCTCACGATCAGCTTGGAGCACCTGATGAACAGCAAGCAGATGCCTCAAGATGTGTCTCTTTTGCTCTGTATTGCTAGCTGTAGCATGATTGCAGAATCAATGCAAATAGCAAAAGATGAACTCTCAAGTTCTCCATGTTTGACATTTCGGACACATGTTGTCAGGTTAACAACCTGTGTTGCTTGCATGATGAAAAAATTTGGTGCATTGATACCAAAACGAGAGTCAACTTCATTTTTCTGTTTGATTTTCTGGGTGACTAAACAATAATAATTTGAATTCAAAAATGCGAGCGTATTTATAACCAAAATGCATACAAATACTCCACACCTAAAGTGGTCCAGCTAGCCCCAAATAAAGTACCAGCTCCAGGGGGGCCTGGTAGAAAGACCCAGAAACCCGTTGCGAGTACAACAAGCCACCCATTCATAAAGAACATTGTAAATCCTTCCCCTGGTTTCAGGTCGACAAGCGTTGGGCACTTTGCATGATCAGCTAACCAGCTATGACTACAGTGAATCACTGGCAAGGACTGATATTGAATGAAATTCTGTGGTGTATCTCTGTCACGCTGTCAGTTTGTCGTGCTATTCTGTGATGTTATTGTCCATTATTCATGCAGTGTTGAAAACAATCCACCTGCAAATTCCTGAATACGGAAATGAACAACTCACCGACATCTCCAGCTCCCCATCGGAAGTTTGGCTCGACCCTGTGTTCAGCGCTTGTCCGGACCTTGCTGAAGACCTGAGCATGGCCTTGATCTCATCCAGCCTCCTCTGATTTGCGGCCATCTCTTCAGCCATGAGGTTGACCCGCTCATGAAGCTGCCGGTTTTCTCTGCGGATAAGCTCCTCTACCCCTCTGTCCATGAGCACGTAGTTGGAGTCGCACCCAAAAGTTGACGTGGAGTCCCGAGTGAACAGGCGAGAATCCAGCTGCGACGCACCTGTGCCCAGGGACAACAGCTTGTCAGCAATGCTTGGAAAACAAACATCCTGTGAGTGTGATTTACCGTTGATCTGCTGTCTTCGTTGTTCTCTAACTCTGTGACATAGCTTGGTACAGGTGCTGCACAGCAGGACCTGAGAATCCAACACAGCCTTTAGCAGTTCTCTACCAAGTGTGGCTCATGAAATGGTATGCAAATCCTATCAGGGCACAACACGCTGCTAACATCAGCAAGCATGCCGCAGTAGTGGTGGCTGCATACTGTGCCCCATTGCACTCATCCAGCGATGCGAAAGGCGGCATAGCAGGGCACAATCCGAGCAAGCCGAGTGGGCACTGTACCTGTGCTGAGGCAGGTCTCGCTGGGGTTGTCACCCACCCTTGAAAAGTCTGACGTGAGCAGTCTGTACTGTGGGTTCAGGGTCGCCTGCATAGGTTCACAATGAATATTAGGATGGTACCACTGTAATCTGCTGACATACAATTCAGGTGCAACAGGTTCCATTAAAGGTGACAGAGAATCAACACAAGAAGCAACAGATCAAAATGCGATCGAGTTTCCATTTTCACACCACCTCGCTATGAAACGGCAGCAAAATTTTCACAACAGAAGCATGGAGGCTTGCGGCCCAGGCTGTGGCTCCTATTATGACGATGCTTCAAATAAGTGCAGAAAAAGCACCACGGCTGGACCATGGTCTTCCATGGGAGGGAACAATGCGTGCTACTCATGTCCACAGTACCCGTCTGCGTCAAACACAATGAAGCAACCAAAGGGTGGCAGATCAGTAGCTCACGTCAAAACTCCTCGACCTCAGGTGGCTCGGCTTGAAGGGTCCAAGTGACAAGCCTTCCTGTGGAGCGCTGGAGTGCAGGATCAGCCTCGTGAGCCGATTGATGCGGGCCTCCAGTGCTGCCTTGTCCTCATCCCTCTTTAGACGAGCACGAAGCTCCTCTTCAAGACGTTCCCTGCATGAGCCCACCACATCAATGGTCAATTAAACAAGAAAGGATTTGAGTGTGCATCCTTACTTCAACAAATGACAATATGGTCGGTCACAACAGATCAACTCGTTAAGACGCACTCAACATGAATTGCGCAGGCTCGATCATTAGATAACATCCATGCATGTGCGCTTTATCACTCTGACAGCCAACAATATGGTCATTCTCAACAGCTGCATTTTCTCAGACACAATCAACAGGGCACTTTTGAGACATGCTTGATCGGGTGGCAGCACTCACCGAAGTGTGTACAGCTGCTCCTCCATGTCCTTGTTAATATTCGAGACAGTGGCATCCATTGGAGTTGCTTCCCCTACGAAGCAAAATGGGTAAACAAATTTACAAAATAGCCTCAAAAATACAATACCAACTAAAATTAGCAGAAGAACAACAGACTAATACAGTTCAAGTACTTCTACTAGAACATCAGCCTTGCAAACAGGAAATCCGTTGTAAGGCAAAGAACCTGTTTGCATGCACATATCCACTGCAAGGAACAGCAGGATCGCCACAACAAAACCAAAGCAATGTATTGCAAACTGGTACTGCTGAGAATGCTCACTCTGCATTGTCAGGACTTCCAGTTGGCGCTTGAGGTCCGCAATCTCAAGTTGGTAGCGCCTGATCAGCGACTTGTCATCCATGATCTCATTCCTGGATGTCTTGACCTGGATCTGTTGCCAACACACTTGCCCACTGTCACAATGGCTGTCCTCTTGCATATACAACTGTGTCTCTGGGAGAGCAACCCACATGCAGGAACCTGAGCAGAGAAGCTGCCAAATAATGAACATTCCACAAAGTACCTCTATCCAACAGACTCTGCACAGTTGCAACTTTGATCCACAAGGTAACACACAGCACAGCAGCCATCTTGGGCCAGTCAAAGCTCTGAGATTGCCCACCGGTACAGGACAAGCAGTGCACAATGAGGTACCTTCTTTGCCCTGGATGCAAACTTGAGGGTGTTGTGCGTCTCCTCAGCCTGCGTTGATGCAGGGGTCACAGTGCAGACGATGGCCACCTTGGCTCCGCTCCCTGTCAAGGAGGGCTGGAGCAGGCGGGTGAGCTTGCTGTCTCTGAAGGGTACATGTGCTGCACGGCTTTCGCTCATCTTATGGATGACTGTGCCGAGGGTGAGAAGAGACTTATTGATGTAGCTGCCTTCCATACGCTTTCCCCTGGCCTTGGAGGACTGAAAGGCATCAACACAGAGTGGAATGAGAACACATGAGCAGCCAATGTGGCCAGCTGACAACACCCATGCCTACCAGGAGGCGCGATAAAATGGTCCACATGCTGGCAACAGCAGCCCATTGGAACCATGCAAAAAGCAGATGAATGGCTCCCATGTCCAACATCTCAGGCCATGGTATCAGTAATACCTTGGCTTTCTGCAACATCTTCCGGAAGCTGAACCCGGCCCCTGACCTGATCTCGACACGGTCGGTGGCCTGCACAGCAAAGAAATGCACCAGTTTATGAGCCATTCCAGGACCAGCCACATTATTCCTGGCACTGTGCATAGTTTTGATTGCTAATTCCCCTGCACTCCATTGTGTCTGCTGCATGTTCGCAGTGACTGACCATGCACAACACTGTTGGCTACAAACACCACCAACAGATTACACTATGGATGATACCACAAAAGCATTGCAGTCACTACTCCACAGCCTCCTCAGACAATTTGTGCATCTGCCGCACGCCGTAATCAGCTTGTCAATTTCTGCCACACCTTTGCAGATTCTGAACCTGCAAGGTCGATCAGGTTCAAATACGACATCGTCCTCGCATGGTCCTCCCTGGGTCCCCGAGGAGCTCGAGGTTGCGGCACAGGCCCGTCCCCTATCATATCGTCCACATCCTCAGGAGCATCATCCTCGGAGTCTTGGTCAAGTTTGTCGCTGACCTCTATGCAGAAACGGCACAAGATGTGACTCCTGCTGCTGCCCTCGTTGAAGGTGGTGCTGGCAACCTGGCCATAGCAAATGCAGAACAGCGTTTTTAGTGCTGATCGGCACGTTTGGTCACGGCAGAACCAAAACTGAAGGAATTATCCTTCCCTAAGGACAGCCACACATGTGTTCAGGTCACGTTGTCTTTGTCAGTTGTTTCTCAAAGTCGCCTAAACATGTTCCTGTCCAGCTCATCTACAATTATGTGTTACATGCAGGTAACCGTTTTCAAAGCAAAATTCGAAGAATGCTGTTTTCTTCAACAACCTGACGTTTATGTTCTTGGCTGCTTGACAACAACGTGTCGCAAATCCAGAAGGGACCCGTTCTCAACTCCTCAATAAAACAATCGACTATTCCACCATTGCTAAACAAAAACACTGACTATTCCGCAGGGCACCAAAGCACCCTCCAACAGCTAAGCTATCAGCCACTTCTGTTCAGATGGCAGCGACGTGCTTGCTCACGCAGGACTCCCCGTTGCCCACAATTAACCCTTTTGAGCAGCACGGCGCATTTGCTCAGTGTCGATGGCCGTTCGCTTGCTCATTCCACACCCCTTGCTTCACTGTCTGCTTCACAAAGCGCATTCGACGGTCCCACCTTGCGGTTGGCCTCGCCGATAGCGATCAGCGACAGGGCGTGTTCCACAGAGAGCACCACCTCCTCCTTGAGCCCATCCACGTGGATGCCCCTGGTGCTGTTGGTCCGGATCTTCAGGTTCGTCCTGGTCGGGTCCAACAGGTCGTTGAGCACCTGCACATGGCAGGCAAGCCCTCCACTCAGCACGAACCCAACGCACGGGGGAGTCGCCAAACGGGGACCGCCGCAGGAAAGGACGGCGTCAATCTGCGCGTCTGCCGCTCCAACCACCAGTGGCCAAAAGACGGGGAGCCCGGCACACCCAGCTGTGGGGCAGGTGCCATGAAGCTGGCTGACGACTGCGGGATGACGACTGGGTGTCTCCGCGCTCGCCGAGCCGCCAGGAGCTGCCGCGCACCCGCATGCCCCTCCCCGGGGGCCGCCACCCACCTCGTTGTAAATCTCCATCATGGAGAGCCTGAGGAGGAACTCCTTGGACGGCATGTTCTCGATCATGTCGAAGACCTGCGCCACGGCCTGCGGCACGATGCCCGGCTCGTCGGCGTCGCCCATCATCGTGTGCGTCTTGCCGCTGCTGGTGACGCCGTACGCGAAGATCGTCCCGTTGATGCCGCTCATCGCCTTGCGCACGACCTCCTCCGCCACCCCCTGGTATACCTCCGCGTTCCCCACGCCCCCCCTGAAAACCTGGTCGTACTTATACTTGGGTTTAAAATTGCCCCTGGACAGCGGTCCCACCGTGTTGTCGTCGTCCACGTCCCACACCGCGACGTCCCCTCGTAACCTCTCCTTCTTACTGCGCCGAACCCCACACACGCGGACCGTCAGCGAGTCCGGAGCGCGTTCCGCCCAGTCCCGCGCGCACCGCCCACGCGCCCTCACAAATCCTCCGCCACGCCCTCGCAAATCCTTCGAGAGCACCCAGACTTGTCCTTGCGCAGCCCTGTGCCCTTGCACAGCGCTCGCCGAACCAGAACAAATCGACACCAACACCATCAACACCAAAGCCACCAGCACCAAAGCGACCGATCGCACAACACGTTCTCGCGGCGCCGTGCCCCCAAAGCGGCGCAACGGCGAATCAATCCGCCGCCGTGGACGACCCATCGATCCCCCGGACCCCAAGGTTCTGGCGATGCAACCCGCCAGGACGACGTTTCTGGCCCCCTGGCCTCTGACCGACGCGATCCACGGCTCGGCACTAAATCCATTCATCCCTCCGGCCCTCGCGGCGCAGCCAGCTCTCCCTTGTCCCCCGCGCTGGCCCGCGTGGCCGCCGATCGCCAAGCCCGCCGGCGGCCATTGCATGCCAACTTCTCCATCAGGTCCCAAAAGCCAAGGCGGGCGATGACGAATGCGATCGCGTCGCGCTCGCGCGGGGGGGTCGGGCTGGCGCGGCGCGGCGGCTAAGGGCCGTCGAGGGGCGCCCTTGGCCGCCGGAGGCGCCGCGAGGGGCGTTGCGGGCCGAAACCCTGGTCGGCGTCGGTAGGGCTTTTTTGACTCCGAGGGGCACCCAACCGACATGCGATGGCCCGGACGCTTTAGCGGGCCGCAAAGACGCGCCGGGGTGAATTTGTTGAGGCCCGATCGGGTGAAGCCACAGGGGAGAGGGTGTTGATCCGGCGCTTGGCCGGGATCGAGGATTTCTGGGCGGAGGGCGAGTTCGGCCGGCGCGACGATACAGAGCGATACAGCGAGACGGTCGCGGAGACGGCGGGCCCGGCGGGCAGCGGGGGCGCCGCGCCGATCCGCGGCGGCCCGCGGGGCGGCGCGCCCCGCGCGACCGCGTGTGGCGCGCCCTAAGGGCGGAACCTCAAGAGCCTCCTGACTGGAGTTGACTAACGACGTCGCATGGGCGGGCACGGGGACACAATGGGCGGATTTGCGAGCGAATGGCGGGCGCCGTGCGCGCAGCAGGGGGGGCGGAGGGCGGCTGGGGAGCGACGCGCGACTGGGGGATCGCCCGCCGCGCCGCCCGGCCGCCCGCCAGCCTGAATCCCGGCCCAGCGCCCTCAAAAGGGGCGTGCTGTGAACAGCTCACCTTAGGGGACGGAACCGAATGGCCACCGTCACTGCGTCCTTGCCTCTCGAGCGATTACCCGAATCATGTCCCTGGCCCGCCTGGGCTTGGCGCGCCTGGAACGGCGCATGCGCCGGCCTCCCCGACCTGCCACTCTGAGGGCCCCCAACAGATCGTGAGCTACCAAGGCCACCGGGCGGGCTCAGCGGCTCCTCCATCGACGGCCGCCGGAAAATTGCCCGGCGGGAATCGCCGCCGGAAGGCCCGGCGGCATCCCTGGAGCGTCCCCGCGCGTCGGCCATCATCTTTCTGCGGGGCTCTCTGACCGAGATGTGTTGGTGCCTGCGTGCTGCGCTCGAGCGGCCCCGGGGCACCTCGTGATCGAGTGCAGCGCCGGACGCCTGGCGGCACCGCGCGCTGGGCACGATTCACGGGGACCCGGGCGCTCGGGCCGGCGGGCGGGGGGCCTGCGCAGCGCCGGGGAAGACGAACTGCTGGATCGAGGTTCCCAAAAGAGCAGCGGGCGGAATCCGCGCCCTACTTATGAAGCAAAACCTGGCTCAGCCCCGCCAGAGACCCCCCAGCGTTGGTGACTGAATGCGCCCACGCCAAGGTGGATGCCGTGGGTTCGGTTGTACCCACCGCCGGCTTCGTACTAGTGGCCTCCCCCCGACGGACCCACGTGTCCAGGCCCCCCCGGCCCCCCCCGGCGCTGTCATCATTGGACGCTCCCTGATGGATTCCCGCAGCCAAACGAGCGGCCCTACCCACGCCTGGGCGCAGCCCCGCCAGTCGGCGCAGATCGCCTTGGATTCACCAAGGGGCTGTCAATCCAAGGGGCCTCGATCTTGCTGCGGTCCCCCAGGCCCGCCACGCCGAGGGAAACCCCAGCGATGGGGTGGCCAAGCGTCAGCGGCGCCACCCCACGCCCCCCCTCACCCCGCCCATGACGTCCCGGGCGTGACTCATCGCGACTGGGCGGTACAGTACGCCAGTACGACGGCCGTCACGTGGCCGGGGCCGGGGCCTCGGGCGGTGTTGGCCCTTGGGCGCTCGCGCGCCTGGGAAGGGGCCTTGGCGATTGGCGTCACGGTTGGGCCGGGGGCCTTGGAGGGCCCGGCGGCCCTCCGATGGCCTGGCTCCCGACATGGCGGGCTCTTGGAGCCCTCGTGCGTGGGCGTGGGGCGGGCGGGGGGCGGCGCAGCGTCGATACCACGACATGTTGCGGACATGGGGGCAAAGTCAGCGGGAGGGGCCGCGGGCCGCCCCCTGACGAATGCGACCCGCGCAGTTCGAATTAGTCGCTCTTTTCCACGGGGCTTCGTTCGGAACTTCGCTTGGCGGCGTGGCCTCGCGTTTGCCCGGGGGCGGGTCTGGGGGCCCGGGAGGCAACAAATGGGGGGGGGGGCATCCTGAGAGTGGGGCGCCCCGAGGGCCACATGCCCGGGTGCTTCCCGCGCTCGGGCCGGGCGACCGGAAGGCTTCCAGACGACTGCGCCCCGGCTTCCACCCGGGTTGGTCAGCCCGAGCACGATTCCTGGGGCTTCTTGACAGCTAGGGCTCGGTTTCAGGGCGACGAGCGCATTCGTACAAGGGCACGTGCTTCGCACAATTGCGTGTGGGTGGCTTCAAGACGACTGCGCGCCGGCTGCTTCCTGGGCTTAGTCAGCCTGAGCGCGATGCGTGCTGCTTCTCTATGGTAAGATTTCGGTATCTGGGCGGTGGGCAGGCCAATTCGCACGCGCACACGCACTTAGCACAGCTGCGTCCGATTGCTTCGGGATGACTACACTCTGGCTTCCTCATGTCCCAGTCAGCCCGAGCGCGATGTGTGTTGCTTCTGGACAGCAAGGGCTCGGCTTCCGTGCTGTGACTCCAGCTTGTGAGGGTGCGCGCTGCGCACAACTGTGCCTGGACGGCTTCAAAACGACTGCCTGCTGGCTCCTCCCTGGCCTGGTGAGCCCGAGCGCGATGTGCATGGTTTCTGAACAGCTAGAGCTTGGCTTCCCTGGGGCGATGGCTTCCAGACGGCAATCAGCTGGCTTCCTGTTGGCCTGGTCAGCCCAGTCACGCCGTGTGTGATTTCTGGACAGCTAGACTTCGGTTTCTGCGTGGTGTGGTGAACCAGCCCGTGCACACGTTTCGCACAACTTCAGCCAGGACGAGCCGATGATGTGTGAGTCACAGGCTTTCGACTAGCTGGTTGTGGGGAAGCGAGAAGCTACCTGTGTAGCTCTGTAGCTGTGCAGAAGCTAGGACCCAGGCGAGTCAGCTTGCGCGGTTGGAATACGGTCGCTGCACAAGACTCGAGCGTTTGTCTGGACGCGCCATTGCGCTTCTGACGTCGGCGGCATTGCGACATTAAGTGTCGCCGCTTCCAAACTGTGTTTCTGGACGCATTGCTCACGCGGGCTGAGGGAACTTTGAGTCAAAGTTGTCATTCAGATGCCTACGCAGTGTCGCAATGTCCCAAAATTGTACTGAAGTTAGTGGCAAGAAACGGCAATCGGATCGAAATGTGCTTCATCGACATTGATCGGCCCTTCCTGTCGGCTACAGTCTGCGCACTCCCCGATTGCACTGAAGCCAACCTATCGCAGTTGCCTTGCTGTGGCGGCAATTGATTGCTGGGAGGTGCCCCAAACTGTCCTTTGAAAGCGCAGACAGCTGCCACAAGAGACATCCTGACAAATTCAGTTGCTGAGTTTCTGTGTCGAGTGGACTCAGAAAGATTCAAGGGACGCAAATTTTCTCGCTGTTGGCGCAAAAGAGGTGCTCGTGCACGTAAATTTTCGCCCACAAAAATTCTCGTACACTCGGCGGTGCGCAAAAATATGATATCCCGCGAAGGTACGATCCATTCCGCGTCCAAAATCGAGGGACGGCGTGGCGCCGGATGATGCCTGGATCATTCGATGATGATAGCTGAGCGATGATTCATGACAGGACACGAGTCTTGTCCTCGACATCCGGTTAGCGAGACCAACAGCGCCGCAATCTGCTCCCGTCCCCCACCTGGCGCAGTTCACTTGTAACAGGCAGGACAAAATACACGGTTTTAGGATCGCGTACCGTGTAACGCAATTGACAATCGTGTGTAAACCGTGTTGAATCGTGTTGAGTCGTGTACTTATCGTATAAAAATGGAACCAAACCCTTTAGCAAAGACTGAGTGGTTGTACATGACTTTTACACGTTTTGACACGGTTTTGCGCGATTTTTACACGGTTCGAAATCGCGTGTTTTGGCCAATTCTTGCTTGCGACTTTTCTGACAATACACCAGCCCATGCGCCAACCGCACTTGTGATTCGCTGCGTCGGTGGCCTCTGAACCCGGCCGCCAACCTTAAAGTCGCTGTTCCTTGGGGCTCCACCAAATCGCGGCCAGACCATGGCCACCGCCGTGAGCAACTTGCTGGTCGACGTTTCTGCTTTTACAACACTGTGAAGGGCTGGCAGTTCGCGATCGCTGTTGCAGGCCGACGGGCCGCGCGTTGCCCCAGCGTCAAAGCTCTCGTGGGAGAACTGGCGCCGACCAAGGTCCTTTGCTATATGCTACTTGTATTGTTTCACTTTCAATTTTCCAAGATACCTTGCCAACATTTCCGGAGGGCTTGGAAATTTCCTCACGCAGTGAAGGTCGCATGGCGAAAAGTTTTGAAGGCAAAAAGACTTTGGCGCGGCTGTTGATGCGTGGAGCACAAGATGTCTTGGCGTGGTGCAAGCTTCTCTGATTCTACATTGATCGTGAATGCAGATCCACAACATGTACGTTGAACATCGCATTTGCAGTATAACACTTGATTTGTGCCTTGAGCCACATCATGCTCGATTAAACGCTGGGACAGCGTGACGAAGGTTTGGATTCCTCTGTTGCACACGGACTCAACCGTCCATCCGCCTATTCGATTGTTGCCCTCGTTTTTTTGTGTGAACCGAATCGGTACATCGATTCGATATGCATCCAGTCTATGTACAGGACCATTCAAAATCGCAGCTATTTGCCAAATGCTCAACGCGACGTCGAATGCTGCCTCTAGCGCCTATCGATAATTTTGGATTCGAGCATGTTTTTATCAATGAGTCAGATTGATCTTTGCATTATCCAAGACGGCTGCACAAATTCCCGTTTCACAAAGTTTCAGACAGCGTTGGCACTTCGCCGATTGATGTCAAATGGCGCACTACGGCTGATAAACCGTGCAGGATGGGATTTACCAGCCCCTGTCATTACATCCAGTTTGATTTCAATTGCTTCCATGCTTTGACACAAGCGGCAGCTCCGGGAATTCGATTGCCGACTCCCACTGCAAGGGAAACACTGTGGAAGGCAGAGACCCGCAAGCGCTTTTGGCCCGTCGACAACACAACGCGACACCTTCCGCGGCGGCAGCTCCCAGATTGGCGACTTGCGTGATTGTCCAATTCTGTGACGTCACCAACGCCCGGCCAGACGGCAGCTTCCCGCACTGTACCGCTCGACGCCCAAGGTACTGCAGCAGTACATGTTTGCGTTCGGCTGTACGACAGCTGTACCGCCGATTGCAGTGGGTACCGGCCCGGCCCGTGGGAGGCCCGAACGAGGAGGGCGCGCCCGACGTGGGCGGGACGCAGACCCGGGCTCTTGGAGACCTCTCGGGCCCTCAGCACTGTTTTAGAAGCCGTGGGCTAAATTCGCTCCGCGGGGTGCACAAACGGCGTTTGAGCAAAGCCTGGCGCGGATGTCAGCCAAACCGATCCGAAAGGGACAGGTGCGCGGCGGGAGACGTTCGAGAGGCTGCGGAAGCCGTGGGTGGGGCTCAGGCGCGAGAATTGATCCTTGCGGATTTGCGGAGAACGGTCCAACGCGGTGTGGGCTTGTCATGGGTACGTCTGCGTTCGCGCCGTGGGGGCTGCAACACGGCGTTGAAGCGATCAGGCTATAGGCTGGGCATCCCTCGTCTCGCTCAGTATCGAAGCTGCACTCCATCTGGGGATTGTGCTTTTGAAGTCTCCACCAGATCTTGGGAGGCCGTCGGCCCCCCTAGAGCAATGGCTCGCTCACCGACGGCCGGACAGCGCATGCTCACCCCAGTGGGGTGGAGAGGCTCGAGGCAGAGAGTTCGAAGCCGATGGACGGCAGGGCGCAGCGAGGGCTTGCGGCGTGGCGGAACGGGGATTGGGCGCGGAGGCGAAGAGTGGCGTCAGGTGAGTGGTGAGGGGTGAATGCACCCATGGGTCCGTTCCAGGGGGCCGTCGCTGGCCAGTGATGGCCCCCAGTCAGGCCCAGGTTCCAACAAGGGGCCCAGGGATGACGTGATGGGACGACGTGGCGCTTTGGGCACGGCGCCAGAAACGAAATCTGGCAGCGCGGCGGAGGGTTTCTGGCGTCCGGAACTGCCGGCGAACTGCCACATACCTCGAAGACTCGCCTTCAGGCCAATACCATGCACGGGTGTACTGTACTTGTGGCGCTGCAGTTTGCGTTTGCCTCATGATGGCTTCGTTCCAACGCGGGACTACCGTATTGCATCGGACTACGGCATTTCGGAGAGGTGCTACGGTATTCCGGAGAGGTGCCGCGTTGTTTCGGAGAGGTAATACGGAATTCCTGAGATGTACTGCAGTACTCCCAAGAGGGTCTCAGATGGCCTGCCCTCCTGTCACACGGTGTGGAACAAGCAGGGTGTGTGTGGCTCAGGTGAATTTGAGCACGAAACTGTGAAATTTGATTCATCAAAGGTGAGAAAAGATGTCAGAGCCTTGTGTGGAGCAGAGACGTCGCCAGAAGTCGATCGACCGCAGATGCAGTGCGTGCTGTGGAAGGGATGTTTCGGCTGGACGCATGACTGATGACCGGAATTGAACCCACAAAGGCCCGATCGAGTGAGTGTCGCATCTGTGCGGACATCTTCACCCCTTGGCAAAAAAACAGCAGCCAACGGATGCCACGCCAGAAACTGCCATTGAAGCTACGAGGCGATGTCAAGAGGTGAAATCCTAAAGAGAGCACCGAGCATTCCAGAACAACTGGCACTCCTCTCTTGGGCAACATTTCCCTCTGCCAGATTCGGCATATGAGATAGCTGCTGCATTTTCTCAGAAAGCAAGTGTGCTAACCAAGGGCGCTTCATTATCTCACGCAGGCCCAGCCCAGTTCACGGAAATTCACGCAAAGATGACAGCACGGGGTCAAGATGATATCGTATCGGCAGGACCCAGCCGTTTCATAACGTCCATTTCATTTTCCGGCACCAGACCATCCTCGATGTACGTCAGTTGATACTCCGGCTTTCTCAGAGTGTGTGGGCCACGTTTAACGAGCTGCTGCCATTTCTGCCCCAACCTGATACACACACAACAGGTGCCGTGTCAAACTCCACTTTGTCATAACGTGTTTAATCACTGCCGCCCCTGTCATGTGATGCGGGGGGTCTTTCACAAACGCAAGTGTCGGGTTGGCTCTTCCTGTTTAGGCTGCATTCATTCATATACTGTTGGCGACACATTGTTTGCACGGTGTGTGCCAACTGCGTTCGGGCTCGGGCTCTGTGCCACCGCCAAAGTTTGCATCCAGGGGAGGATGGCGATGTGATGGACTCCAGGCGTCTCGCATCACATTCTGTTCGCTCTGTTACACCTGCTCATACCAGCGGCCCTAAGCATAGTTTCTGGCCTTCCGAGCCCTCTTCGCTGTGTGCTGTTCCAGTTACGCTCGGAGACGTCTGCACGATGCTGTGGTGTGTACAAAACTGGCAACAATATGCCTGCTTATGAGAGGCGCTTCCACTTCACGGAATATTTTCTTTCTGATAGGATTGGCATCGCCTACAGTGCTACAGAAGAGCAACTAAGCACCAGCTGCCATCCAGGGCCAAATCGCCTCCTGTGGGACCCATGCAGCCCATTGCTTCGGCCTGGCTGCGATCTCTGCATAGAGCATAAGCGTCCAATGCGCTGACCAACGCGCTATTCACATTTCTGCATACTCTTGCCCCTGTGCTATGCCTCATGTCCTCTGTGCTGTGCCAACCATGGTTACTAACCTTCAGGGCACTCAACCTCACGTACACTTGGCGCCTGCAGAGGAGGCTATTTCTGTTTTGTCAATTTGCATCAGCACTGCAGGACTGCTGATACTAGGCCATGAGATTGTGATTGCAGCCTGAAGCCATAGGAAAGTTCAGGCCAACACTCACGTCAACGCTTCCTCCAGAGTTGAGTCGGGAATGCCAGGGTCCAGAATAAGCAAGTTGTGGTAGATGCCTCCATTTGCCTTCTTGTAGCGTTCTATCCCCACCACTGTGCGGGAATGGCCCTCGTGCTGGAAGTACAGTGGCAGCCGCGCTGTGTGCACAACACCTCGCCCTGTGTGTCAACACACCACAGCAGGGCATTAGGAGGGCAAGGGGTGTTGGTTTGACCGGATGTGCGAAAACATTCGTTTCTTGTGTGACCTGCAGTGCACGCTTGTGTGCGCAACATTTCGTCCAAACGTTGCGGACATCCTGGGCTGTGGAAAGAATTAGAAGAATGTAACACAACAAGGCACAATTATAGTGGCATATAACTTCTCAGGAATCCATCCTGCACCACATTGAGCAAACTGACACATATATGTATTGCCGACGTCATATGTGGAAAAGTATTAGCACTTTGCTAGGTAGAAGTGAGAGGAAGGGTGTGCAATGGTAGCAGAGCAGATACGTAGCCCAAGCTCAAAGTGCTGTCGATCACATTTGTACTCGCGTGACAATGCACCAAGTAGGGAACGACCGGCATGTGCACACACAGACGTCGCTTGCTCCCCGTTCATCAATTTGTTCGTTCACTGCTGCTGTGCAGCACCTACAAACGTCTAACAACTCAGACGCCTGTAACACTACTATCCTATTTAAGGTAGCAAAGAATGGAAAAGAAAATGCAATCAAATGCACAAATAAAACGAAATTGGGAAATGGCAGGCCCACTGGAGACCAAGAACTGGCGCACTGCCTGTGGCGCAGACCATTTATCTCTTTCCCGGCACCCAGGTGTGCAATGCGCTGTTGGCTGAATGTTGAAAATGGCAATAGCGACACAAGAGGTACGGTACTGTTGTGGCGGAGCTTTCTGGACCCAATTTTCGCCGTATAGCATGGAAAAATCTTCCCAGCGCACAGAATTTGCAGTCACCGCCGACCGCAAGAACAAAAGGTACAGGGAAAGAAGTAGCACCATAGATAAAACTACAAAACAATCAACTACAAAACCGCAATCAATCAGATCAGCGAAATGTGGTTGGCACCACTTGAACAAACGCTCTGCATCTGTACTCAGTGCACAATCCCAACACCAGGGTACCCACCTTGCTCCGGAAACCCAGAGCTGAAATAGTTCCATATCCACTCAATCAGACGCCTGTGTCTGTTCTCATTCTCCAGGTCCTGATCCCCTTCCGGCACCATCACCCTCACATACCGCCCCCCCCAAGTCGTCTGGGAAAAATCCACACATCTGCTGCACATGTCCACTTGAGGATTCTTCTTCTTGCTCCTGTACCGCACCCCCAAGATGTTCTCCACCTCACACATGGAACACTTCACTCCAAGGTGGATCGGAGCAGTTCCATGGGACTCAAAGGGCCCGGCATGTTGGGCCCTTGGATCCCTGATGCAGTGGTCGCACAGGTCGTAGTCTGGAACCGCAAGGCTTGTGTGGCGAATGCCTTCGATGGGTCGGCGCTTGCACAGGTCGCATGCAATCGAATGGTGCAGGGAGCCCAAGTGCTGGGGCCTGAAGATGTTGTGGGCAGAGTGAGTTCCTGAGGGGCAGCAAGTGACAGAATGAGGAATGGTGAGGAGGAAAGATTCCTAACCCGCTCTTGGGCTGTGGCAGGAGGCTGCCCTGTGCTGATGAGCCATTTGATAAGACAGGTCATAAATGATGAAATGGGGTGTGCATGGGATTCAACGACTTGAAAGAAGAGGCCCACAAGATCAAAGCCCAGACGTCCTTGATGAGCACACAGCGGGGGATGCAATGCCAGCAAGTGGTGGGGGGGAAACGATGGTAAACACACCTACAAAATCGATGAACTGTGCCCTGATCCGAAAGACCCTCAACAGTGAGATCACCTCCGTCGTTCCTATCCATCGCAGGCTCTGCTGCACAGAACCTCCAAACTGAGCACAGCCCTCAACATCAAAGCCTGCGTGCCATGCAGCTTCAAGCCAAGCTTGCAATGAGCCTGCACAACCAGGGGTTGAGGAATAAGACATTGGCCTCACATCTGCGCAGAGGCACGAGCACTAGCTGCCTTGGTTCTCCACCTGGTTAGCATGCAGGCTCTGGGAAGGTGGGCAAGTCAACCAATGGCGACAAGCTAAGGCAGCAACTGTCCAATGCCTTATTCCTGAATAAAATGACAAATCGCCTTCTCTTGCCAAATTGAGGGGCAATTTGCGGTCAAAAGCATTGCCAAAAGCCACCATAACTGCGATACACTTGCCAAGAATGGAGGCTGGCAGTCACAACAGCTTTCTGAGGAGCTTTGGCAGCATGGAGGAATCAAATGGAACTGGAAAGGCCAAAAACTTCACCGAGTGATACACAAGGTGTTGAATGGTCATGACAGCATCTTTGTTAAAATTGCAATGCTGATTCCCATAATGCAACAGACAGATCGACTTTGTGAACCCGGGTCCCAAGATGCAAGAGTCACCATAAGACACTCCGAGAATGCAATAGTTGCTGCAGCAAGTAGCACACAGTGACAAAGCTGATCATTTCTCTGCCCAACAGAGGAGTTCTTGAGTGGAGGGAGCTGATATGCGAATTGGAATAATCAACAAAGAAAATGCAACAGTAAAATGGAGGATGGCAACATGAATACACATCTTTAGGGACAATTGGTGGCTGCGGAATGTAGCCTTCCCTCCAAGATCCTCCCATCCCAACCTGCTACCTCAGTCCAACTTGGGCCATTTGTCCACAAGAAATTTCCTTCCTCAATTTCAAACGTTTTGTATTGCATCGTGCACTGCAGAGCAAAGGCTTCGTCTCCTTCTAGCCGTCAAAGTGTTCCGCTCACCTATGTCGGGAACATATCCACACCCTCCAAAGAGACTCTCCCGCCACTCCGTGCTCCTCATCAACATGGCTGACACAAGCATCTGCGCATTGCGCCAACCGCAACCCCAGCCTCGGTCTATCATCCTTGCTGAAAAGTGCTGGACAGGAGCTGGCATACACAACATAGGAACTATGAGCTGGGATGAAAAGGAAGCGTCACTTCAGGGCAGCCTGCCAGCAGCACAGTGCAAGTGGCAGATATGGTCATTCACCATCACAGCAATGCTCTCCCCAGTCCCACAGCACCACATGAAATAGCCAATCTCCTCAAACTGGACACATAGAGCATGGTCGGTGTAAAATGACATGAAGTGTGGCATCGCTGCCACACCTCCCACTTTGTGCTTCCTATATTCGAAATTCCAGTGCATTACTGTCCAGCAAGATGCACACATCCAGCAGTAGTTCAGACATAACTATACTCAGCTGCCCGCACAGAGTTTCAGTGGTCTGGCGTGTGGACCTTTGCAGCCTTGCTGTCAAGAAGAAGTTTGTTCTCAAATTGAGACGACTGGCTTCCCAGGTCACGCACAACGCCCAAGTAGTTTCTGGCATGGTTTGCCTTGAACAGACCAGCAGATGCTCAGCATACAGCCGTACATATTTTGCCTATAGCTGTTCCATTATGGATTCCAGGCACCAGAGAATTCAGTGTGTACTGGTGCACAAAGCCTGGGACCAGTCATATTGCTGCGTGCGCATGTGGCTAGGGAAACTTTGCTTCCAGTGTAAGAGTCTCAGCAAAGCCCCCAGCAGTGACTTATCCATGGCTTCTGTTCATGAACATGCAACGATTGTGGCACAATGCGATTCGCAGCTCAAGTAACGTTTCTGTCCTGGCAATCCAGACATGCAACTCTGGTGCTCAGCAGATATTATCATGTACACCACACTGCCACTTGAATGCAAACCACAACCAGACGCCCTCACGAAACTGGCTTGCTGCAAGGGCTGCTGCTTGCAATGCCCAGGACTAGCAAAGCACCCGCTCCAAAGAAAATGCGATTGGTGTTCTGTGCAGCGCACAGGCTGCACTTTGCAACTTGCTTGCTACCTGACAAGAAGCAACGACTGGGCAGTTTTTGGGCCATAAGGCACCTGGACAGCAAGTCGATGGTGTTGGCACTCTGCCTGAAGTTCCCGTCCCGCCTCTGGCACTTGATCAGTTCCTCTGGAACGATGGGAAGCGGGTCGGTCGCTCTGCAGAGGCACAGGTCAGGCACACACATGCGTCATGGAGTGAAGCTGCATTAAGCACACTGTCTTGGCTAGTGATTTCAGCTCTTTGCTGACTGTCGAATGCCAGTCCAATGTCTTTTTGTAGTTCGTGTGCACCTGTGTGTCACACCATTTGGCCATCTGAATGGCTTACAGCTTGCATCAAGACCTCACAGCATTCCTGTTCCATCCAATGCAACCTAGCACATTTTCACAGCGCTGAGCATGGATTCAGCGCACCATTGCCACGTAACAGTTTCAGGCAAGCTGCTTGGGGAGCACTCCGTCGTTCACTGCTAAAGAAACAAATCAAGAACCACAAGCAGCAACGGCTTCAAAACAGCAGACGTCTCACCTCATTGCCCCCTCCCTCACAGGGCAATTACGCACACGGTGGCCCTCCTCTCCACAGAAAAAGCAGCGCACACCACCCTGGTCGACAGAGAAATCGGACTCACACAGCTGGTGGGGCCCAGAAACAATCAACGAACTTTTCACGAGACAGTCTAGCGCATCCACTAGATGACATCAGATAACTAGACGTACCTCCATCACTGCAGTAGTGCACTCCTGGTGCATATTGTTTCCATGTGTTCCGTGTTTTCCTTCTAAGCGTTATTCCCACGTTGCCTCTAAGGATACATTCCTCTGGTAAGCGTTCCAAGGTCTTTGTGGACCGCTTGAAGCCCTGAAACTGCCATATGATCTGGGTCCTCAGAGACGCACTGCATGGTCAACGTGCCGTTCGTCGTGCTGGATGCCAGGTTGTAGTCATTTGCTTTGCTTTCTTTTCCATCCAGTGAACCCAGGAACCAGTTCACAGGAGTCAGGCATCCAAGATGACTTTGCAGATTGAGTTTCATGACAAGGGCACAAGGTTTCTATTTTGCTATGTTGACATAGAAAGAGCAGAATGTTGCAAGAGTCAGATTCCATCAGCCCTTTTCCACAACATCCAATTGTTCCAAGTGTCTTTCAGCATTCGGTGTACCCTATGCCCCAAAGCAAACACACTAGTGAGACAATGATTTCAGGAGCAAAGTATAGTAGGAGCACTGCATTCTCCTCCCACTTCGCTTGCCCTTTCACCACTTACACATGGGTTCCATGTGCATTGCATGTGCTGTATCCTAGTGACACCAAGTGCAATGTTTTTATTGGATACATGTACTCAAAACAGTCAGTACGTACAGCTCCCGCACATCGCAACAGACAGGAACATCTTCTCATCATCAAATTCATGAGGAGGGGACAGCTGGCCCTTCAGGTCAAGTCAGCATTTTGTACTCTATTAAATTTCAATAAGCAAATCGGCACCTCCCTAACAGTTGGACCAGTGGCATGCAGTGTCCAGCCATACCTGACGTTCCCTGTTAGCAGGCCCACTGCTGCTCCCTCCATTGCGCTGACCAGACTGCTGGTGCCTCTGTCGTTCTGCATCTTGGAGCCTGGGCTGCCAAGCACAGGCAGATGCAACAATGAGTAAAAATGGAGCTCCTTTTGGCTGTGATTTCCCTGTTTCGACCGCATCCAAAGGCGGAAGAAAAATTGGCAACAGAAACAGAATGGGCATCCCTGCCCCAGCAAAGGGTACTTGAGGCTCAGTTGCTTGCTGTACACCTGATGCAGGAGCTTTGAAGTGGAACAGGGCCAATGCACAGCTTGCGCCGTGGGGCAGCAATGTACAGATTTTGAAGTCCCAACACTGCTCGAATGCTGGACAGCAGCGCATCACCCAAAAAAGGGTGTTGGGTGCCCAGAAAGAACGAGGACAGGGGGTAGTGGTGGGGATCGGCGGTTCCCGGGTTAAGAGACTGTATCCGACCACCGAAGGAAGGCGCTCTCAGGTCAAGTTCCATCCAAAGCATGGGACGTGCTTCCGCAGCGGCCCCCCCTCCTCGCACCACACCCGCGATGGATTGATCGACACATTGTTGATTGGCCCACCGGGCCCGCAGAAGCACCTGTGCGCCGCCTCGTGGCTGTCCAGCTCCGAGATGTCGACGCGCTGCCCGCACCCCAGCGGGCAAATCACCGATTCCTCGCGCGCGGGCGTCGAGGACGACGCCCCTGCCGCGCCGGTGCCGCCATCGACTTCGTCGAAATGGGCGTTGACGTGGATGGCGAGGGAGCCCAGGTCGATGTTCTGGCCGCACACGGGGCACGGCTGCGCGGCCAGAACGAGCTCCACGTCGTCGTGCGAGTCCATACCGCAGGGTGCCACCCGCTGCTGTCCTTGCGCCTTGCTGCGGCCCAGGCAGGGTTGCTTGGGACGCAAGTTGTGCTGGGACTGGGGTGGGGGCACTGTACGGGGTTTTTGTTGTTTTTTTGGGATTGTGGTGCCACGTTTGGCAGGAACGTGGAGGTACGAAATTAGTCGCTCTGTCGTGTCCGTGAAGATGCCTTCTTGCTTCGAACGCCCTGAAACCCTAAACCACTGACCCACCAACCGGTGTTGGCCTTGCCAGGGGAAGAACAAGGGATCCTCACGGAAAAGATGTGGGGGCTAATACATTCTCGAACATGAAGTTGCCGCTTCCCAATACTTGGCCAGCGAGCGGGTTTAAAGCACGCCATACATACAGGTTATTTTGGGTTGTAACTTCACTGCGCGCAGGCTGAGGTGTCCGAGTGGTTAAGGAGGTGGACTTGAAATCCACTGGGCTCGCCCGCGCAGGTTCGAATCCTGTCCTCAGCGCTCCATGGTCCCGCTCGCTTTTTTCCCTCCGGCACCCCTTTCCCGCATTCCGCTGTTCCAGGGGCATTCGCCCCGTGTCCTTGATGCCATTCACCGGGCTGCCATATTTTCGCTCAAACACGGGCCTGCGGGCCCGTCCGACGAGGACCCTGGACGCCCCCATAGTCGATTGGAAGGGGAAGCATCTTCAAAAGACGCTAATGCGCTGTACCTCGCTCCTCGGACAGATAGAAAACGAAGCAGCCGTTCCTGTGAGGGAACGGCACCTGCCACGGCGTCTCCCTGTCGTGCGCTTCTGCCAGTCCGTCCTGGTATCACCTCAAGGGGCTCAAGTATCTGGCCCTGTCCTGCTGCAGACATCCCCAAGGGAGGGCCGTCCGACCGCGCGTGGCCATCGGCAAGCACCGCACGGCTGACCACCCGACAAGCAAGCTCATCAACGTCTTGCCAGGTACTCCCCTGGCATCGTGACGGCATGAAATTAGTCGCTCTGTCTTTTTCGTGTGCATCCCATCTTGTTTCGGACAACCTAAACCACTGACCCACTGACCGGCGTTGGCCTTGTCAGCGGAAGAAGATGGGATCCGCGCCGCAGAGGCAGAGAGACTACTACATTCTCGCATCGCGACGGTGCTGATGCTGCACCCGTTCTCGCGTCCATTCTTTGCCAATGGAACGTTCCCATCCCCACGAAAGAAGCTTCTTGTCGTTCCGACAAAAGCATGGACGTGACGAACCGCAGCATCGGTCGCGTCCCGCAGATCGATCAGCGGCCGCAGCGCACAGTCCACGGTCATGAGCCTGTATGCCTTGTGCGTGCGGGCGAGAAGTGGCTTAAGCGGCACGCCAGCAACGGGAGCTGCGGGAAGGGAACAGACGTTGCGTTTGCTCGATGTGTTAGCCGGCGCGAATATACGCGCGAGCCTGGCGGCGTCGGAGGGGCATGAAATCAGTCCCCCTGTTTTTCTGTGATTGTCGGTTCTTTTTTCGGCACCCTAAAGCTAAATCACTGACCCACTGACCCACTGACCCGCGTCGGCCTTGTCAGCAGAAGAAGGGGTCGTCGAGAAAAAGAAGTGGGGACTATCAATGCGTCAAATAAAATTATCGGTCGGTGGGGTCTCCGCGGTGCAAATGAGGGCGTTCGTGGGAGGCTTACGGCCGATGGCTGCACGCCAACTCCCACCATCTGCCAAGCTCTGCAGGCCCCTGTTAGATTCCTCCCAGTCGTGCGAGTCAGGCGGTCTGCACGAAATTGGAGTTTTCTCGATGTCACGTGTCAATCTTTCGTCAATCGCCCGGATTGATGGAAGGCTGAGCCCGATGTATTCCCTCTTTCATCTACCACACCCACGTTTCATTCCGCTCTCCTCACTTTCACTGTGCAGTGAAAAGGGTGAACTTCCTGCGATTTCGTTGTGGGGTGCATTTTCTGATAGTCGAGAAACAACGACACCAAGCGAGACAATCTATTCCAGAATTTTCAAGGCGATTGTGTCCTTTATGCCACTTGGCTCCTGAAGACGAGATCCATTTTCTCTTCCACTGCAAAGCCTATGACAACATCCGTGGAAGCCACCCTCGTATTTTTCGACGTCACAATGCGAAAGTACTGTTTGCTTCAGTTCCAGCTCGCCAACTCGCGAAGACACTTCGTTTGATGTGTCACCATCGATTGTCGCTTCTAGGCATCGGGAGTTCATAGAATCGTAGATTTAGTTTGTGTTTCACATTAGATTTCAACAATCCGATCACCGACTCTGCTTTGCTCAGGCAACATAGGAAGTTGACGGCTACCTCATTGCCTTGTTCTGTGAAAACAATACTGATGATGACGAAAAGGGTGAACGCCGCATCTCCTAACGGAAGCAGTTGTTGTTCCATCACTGCACAGCACCTCTGGCACATTCGGACGACCGGGAGCCGGAACTGCACGTGGGCGCTGCACCGCTCATGTCCATGGCCGTAAAGCGCGCCATGCTCGCCATCGATGCCAATCGCTGTCGCGTCCTTTGAGATCGTCGGCAAACTGGCGACGTCTTGAGGTCTGACTTCAGCAGAGACGGAGCTGTTTTCGCGTTGCATTCATTGGATCAACACACCCAATACAAATGTACGCGTCCATGCCTTCGTTCACGTCCGTCGTGACATGAACGAAGGCACATGCTCATGTCAAATGACATGACGCCACACAGGGGAAGCGCCACCGAAGCCCCTCTCGATAAGCGTCATCAATGACGATTGATGCCAAGTAGTGCAGGGGAGGTTCACGACCGTGCACTCCTGACAGCTTGTAAGGTGACCGGCCAAGAGGCCGCCGCCACACACAAGTGAGAAACAGGGCCACCGCCACAAGGCGCACCCTGACCGCAGTGCGTCTGAGCCTTGAACTCGCGTCCGCTTTACATGGAGACATGTCCCACTTTGCTGCGATGCCACCCACGATCAGCCCACGTTATTGCCCACGGGTGTCTCTGGACGTCCCGACCGATTCGCGCCCTTCGCTTGTGGAGAAGCCGCCAACGAAAAACCCACCACACGCCTTGATGTCGGCGACGCTCCGTCCACAGCCGAGGCAAGGGACGCCAGACCGCGGCCCAAAGCCACAATGGCGAGCCGCGCTCGGCGTCAAGAACGCGACAGAGCGCACAGCACAACCCTCAAAAACCCGGCGGTTGACAAAGGAAAGAAAAGCCTGCCTCGAATTGCCTAACAAACAATCCCCATGGAAACGTGACAGGCGCCACACCTCAACCTCGCCCCCAAACAGGGGTGCACACCAACCCTCCTTGCAGAGACCACTGAATGCTAAGAAAAAAACAGGACTTGCGTAGAAGTTGCATGACAAGCGTCCATCCCATTTCGGCGGCACTTATTATCACCAATGGGCCTGGACGCGTCGACAAACTCTTCCAGATCCGCCCACCCACCCCCTACCCGGCTTTTCCCGCCCCAAAGAAGAATCTAGGCTCATTTTCAACTGATTCCTTTCTGTCAGTTAACGACACCACAGCCCCTCTGCCCCTCAGCAACACCAGCCGTGCTTTAGACCCTTAATACTCACGTTGCCTGCCCCAAGACATATGCCCACGTGCAAAGCGGCGGACTGGTGACCTAACCAAACCACCCAGTTCTTGGCATCCACAGACAGGCGTGTGGAACCATCACACCAGCTGCATGCAGGCCATGAATTTTAGAAAGCCAGTCAGGACGCACCCGGCTCGGCGTGGCAGCCTCTCCGTTTCACGAGTGCTGCCCAACCATCGAGGTAGACACCACCCGGGGCGAGCGAGGCCACCAGAAGGGTAACGCGCCAGTCAACAGGGACAAGGCGCCTACCCCCCCACCGCCCGCCCGCGACGTCTGACAATTTCGAAGGAAAAGAAAGCGCAGATTCTGTTGGTCGATGCCGGCATGCGCGGAAACACTTCTACCCCAGGGGACCTCTGGGGCTGTGCTTCTTTCGCTCTTTTCCAGTCCCACTGCGGGCCGCTGCTCGACCTCTGCATCATGCAGTGTTTCGTCGAATCAACTGTCACTATCCAAAACTGCTGTGAGCACCCATCGAACACTCGCGTTAGCCGCGATCTGACACCCCACGCACAGCCCATAGTCCCCAACTATGCACAGTGCACCCTTGCATGGCATCGTGTGCCTCGCAATATCCCAGGTCCTGCTCCCTGAGGACCGTGCCCATTGGCTAACTAGAAAAATTATCTCAAGGGGATTCCATCTGGTAACCGGCCGCGCCCAGGCTTCAAGCGCGTGCCAAACTTCGAAGAATCCCAGCCTCCATGATCCTGACAAGCCAGCCTGATTCTCGTACCATTTTATTGTTGCCGATGATCGAGCTCTGTCCACTTCAGTGATGAGTTCCGAGCAAGCAAGCACTGCGCACGTGCATCGGCCATGAACTTGTGTGAAAGGACTCCCAGAGCTGCGCCTGGGAGGTGAGCGGCTGGCCAAAATCCAACCCTCCACCCTGGACCCGCCGCCAACGGCCACACCAGGGAGAAAGGCCACACAGTCCTGATGCCACAGCGGAGACCTCTCCTAAGCCCGGTAAGAATGATTCGACAGAAATTCCTGAAACTACTCCGTCCCGACCACCGAAAGAAACTGCCGCTACTGTTTTCACATCAATTCTCCTCGTTTCCATCCTCAAACTTGACGCACGAAATGGGCGGAGAGCCCGCCGCGGGACCCGCCCTGCGCTCTGAGACGATGTGGTGCCCCTCCCTTGGCTCAATTTGCATTAACCAGAACGGCCTGCCCCCCACCCATTTGCCCAACCCACTCCCTGTGCACGCAGGCGTTCCAAACGTAGTGATCGAACCCGCCCCTCTAGCAACCACAATCTGGGAGGGACATGGACACTGGGCACCCTCTCCTGCTCCTCCCTCACTTCGAGCAGCTTCCCCGCCGGGAAGCCCAATCAGATTCTGGCAACGGGCTCTTCACAAGCCCTTTGGGACGAGCTCCACAGGATCTCGAAGACTGCTTTGGGCACATGGGCAGAGCTTCCTGGGGAACAGAAGGCGCAGCGACTTCAGCCGTCCCGCACTGCGTGCATGCGTTCCTTTTCGGAAACATGGGCGTAGCCCAGGTAACCAAGTGTTCATTATTCCCTACTTGCTGCGCCCTCTGATCTGAATATGGCACCGTGACAAGTTGGAGGCTGGCAAGGCCAGGCATCTGCCAACACGTCGGACAGCCCTACAGAGAGCCGCCCTCAGGTAGGCTCCATATCAGCATCTTTGAATTGCAGTGAAGACTTGTTTCAAACAAGCACATAACAACCGCTCACTTCCTCTTGGGGTCTACATCGCTGGCAGGTGGAGACAGAAACAACATCAAAAGCCGAAGCAGCACATCGCATCAGAAGTACTGCTAGTTAACGCTAAGGCAGCAGTACAGAAACAAAGAAATCTACCACTCGAACAATCCTTATAGTTTGCATCAACGCACATGGGAACTCGCCACAGGCGGTTAAGGCCAATAGCACACCCACCTTCCTTCCTCCTTTGATCCATCAGCAGCAGCTGCAGCTCCCACAAGTCGGCGGCACGCTGATTCGCCTCCATCGCTGCCCCCACCAGGTCTTGCAGCTTTTCGACATCTGCCACAAACTGCAGCTGGAGCGCGCAGGAAGCGACGCGTTGATCGAGGAGCTTGATCTGCGCGTCCACCTCCATCAGGAGGTCGTCGATGCGCAGGGAGGTCGGGGTGCTGCCCCAGCTGTCCGACATGACGATTTTCTTTTTGTTTTTGATGAGGGGAAAGGTGGGGGACGTCCCTCTTGACGACCTGCGCCGGCCCGACCCCTGTTTACTGAGGCTCTGGCTCCTCAGCCTGCGAATTGCAGCAACGTTGGAATGTCAGCTTGTGCGCATTGCCCACCGCATCCCCGCCCTATCGCGCTCGTTCCCACAACAGGGCCCCCCCCTGTGCCAGTGCCAGCGGTCGGCTGCATCAAAACGCTGCGTTGCTGGCGGTTGAGCGCTTTCGGCACAGCGTTTCCAGCGTTTCGGACTCTTTTTGCAGCTCCATCGTCACACACGACGTCAGCCTCCCATCTTGCCCGAGCAAAGCAACGCCCACGACCGGTCCATCGAAGTCCGACGTACAACACAAACAAAATAACAAAAGCGCTACATACAGCGCCCCAACCCCCGCGAGTGACGAACGGCGGCCCAGCCGTTGCAACAAGCAGCTGACGTCCGCCTGGTTGCCTTGTTCTGTGAAAAATGACGACGTCGATGATGATGATCAACGGCGGCCTGATACGTAAGGCCCCCTCACAGGCGATGATCGGCGGGCCCCTTCCCCCAGACGCGTAAGACTGCTCGGCGATTGACGGGGTTCCCTCTAAGCTCGCCCAAATCGAAACGTAATCGCGCGGGGGAACGCCAGCCCCACGCCGCGATACGCCACCGCAAAGTTCTCGCACAGCGCGTGGCCCCGCCCTCCGCTACGGGGCCAGCACGCGCGGCCAAAAGCGCACGGGGCCCCGTACCGCACCCCTGTGCGCCCCTCCCCTCCTCAACTTACGGCCTCAGTACGGACTCATGCCCACGACGTACGACCGCGCCAGCTCCCCCCACCAAGCCAGGCTTACCAAACCGCGGCGCCACAAGACAGCTGGCCGCACTCAGGGCGGGGGGCAGGCCCAGGCGTCCGTACAACGCTCCCGAGATCCGCCCCATGCCATCGATCAATCAAACGGGTCGGCAGTGGAGGTGCGGCGCGGCCGCACGGCGGATGCGATCGCGCATCTCACCGCGCCGCGCCCCTGGCCTCACCAGCAAGCCCTTCAGGTGCGGGCGCAGCGCGAAAACGACCCACCCACCCCCAAACCCTTTCCGCGGACCAGCTACTGGCCACACCGGGCCACACCGGCGACCACCGGGGGTCAACCTGGACCGCCTGGCTTCCCGGGAGCGGGCTGCTGGGCGGGGAGAGGCAGGCGGGGAGAAGCGGGGCGACGCCCGTCGATCCGGATCCGAGCCTGGCGGGGCGGCGGGCGGCCTCGCGGCGGCGGCCCGGATGCCGCCGGCCGTGCCCGGCCGCAGGCCGCCCGCCCGGCGCGGGGAGGGGCGATCGGCCCGCTGTCGACGGAGCGTGTCGGTGTCGGCGCGCCAGCCATTCCTTACGGGACAACTCATCATCGGGTCAGGCCTCCGCCCCGCCCGGCGCCGACCCTCGGGTCAGCATCCCGGAGCCTCCCGCGCACCCCTGCTCCCACCGATGCCTTCCAACCCCCGCCAATCGCCCGGTCCGCGCACATCAGGCCCGCCCCCGAAAAGTCGTATATCCGTCGGGCGGCTCCAACTGCCCCAGAACATCCCTCCCTCCCTCCAGCCCTCCACGCCCGCCCCCTCTTTTCCCCGTTCCCGAGGCCAAGCTGGCGCCCGCCGCCGCCCTCTTTGACCCACATGCCCGCAATCTCCCCACAGGATCGCCGTGCCTACCCCGCACCACTCTACACACTCCCCCCTGCCCCGGCAGACCCCGCGACACGCACGCTCAATGCCACCAGGAAAAGCCACCAGCCGCTTACGGAACCCCGAGCAAATGCCCACAGCCGCACGGGCCCAAGTCCCAAGGCGCCACATGGGCTCGTTCCCTCGCACCGGCGCCGCAGGGACGTCGCGGCGGTCGCCGCTCGGCGCCAACTGCCCGCCCACCTGTGTCTCCCGGCCGGTGGGATCGGCGCTTCCGGTCAGGCCGGGGGGGGGAGACGAATGTCCCAACCGCGGCTGGCGCAGCGTCGGCCTGCGTCGTCGCCCCGCGTCGTCAGGCGCGCGGCCCTCTGAACGGGGCGCTCTCCCTCACTCCCAAGGTATCTACGCTTCGGCGAAAGCACGCCCCCAGTCATCCCACCCCGCTTCTTAATACCTGGGATGTGGGGAGGTGGGGCCCGATTAGTCACGTTACCTCGACACCCCGTCCCGTCGAGGCTGGGGCCTTTCGGGCGCGGATTTCTGGCGCCCCTGCGTGCCGTGCAGCGGCCGGGGGAATTGACGTGCCAGCGCCCCCCCAAGCCAGCATCGGTATCGGTACCGGCCCCTCGGTTCTCGCGATTGTTCCGATAAGTACGCGTGATTGACAGGCCCAAAACGGGGCCAGAACCCCTATTGTACAGAGACGCGCATCGCCGTTCGGCGAGCCCGCAGTTGGGCCCGCCCTCCAAAGGGGCGCCCCCGCCTCTTTCGGCGCGTTCACTGGCCAGGGCGAGCTGCGTGATGGCCCGCGTGGGTGGTTCCAAGGGGCCCCTGGCGCGGTGGGTGGCCGTGCCGTGCAGCCGTGTGCGGGTGTGAGCGGACGGTGTCGGCGCCCCTTTACCGTTCCGGACCGAGGGAGGGGTGGCCAGTCGGGCCGTCTAAGTATAACGGATTTGGGTGGGGGCGACGCGAGCAGTGACGCTATCACCTTGGCGGACGGGTGCCTTTCTCCCGGTTCTGTTTTATCACGACACAAGGCCGACGATATGTTGCGGCCGTACGTGCACGATGTGCCAGCCTGACGCGGAAGCCGCACATCATCCGCACCCGTACCACTCCTCATCCAGCCCGCCGTTCACTCTTGAGGGAGGACGCCCTTCGGTGGTCGCGTGGCGCGAAAAAGGGTGGAAGTGCAAGCCGCGGACACCCTTTTCGACGCTGGCGGTACAAATCCGGTGCAATATAGTCGCGGTAAAGTACTGTACTGCCAATACATGTTGTAGGACAGGCGTCAGGAGTGGCGTGCCCCCGCCTGAAGTACATCACCCATTTTGCGCCGGCGCCTTCAGTTCACGATCCTCGCAGAGGCGGAAATGGGACTCTTCGCACGATTCTTGTGGGCGTTTCCGCAGGTCGAGCAATGTACCGCATTTTTCAGCGACCAGCAGGACGCTGCTGGGCACGACATTGACACGCAAGTGTCAGGTGCCGCCTCTCCTCAAGGGGGTGGCAATCGAGGTGTGGGCCCCTCGTGGTCCGTACTGCGATTTGCCGCCCTCGCACAAGGCACAAGCTTTGAAACCCATGACCATTCCAACGCGCCGGCACCGTGACTACCACATGCTCCGACGAATTCCCCATTCCCTCCCTCCTGTCGCTCGTTCCCCTGACAGTGGCACTTCACTGCTGATCTCCTTTGATCCTGCTCACACTCTACCAACCTCCTGCTGACTTTTTTGATCTTTCTGATCGCTATCCTCCTGCTCATCCCGATTTGCTGCCACGGGTGCCCCCAGCGATTGCTGGCCGCTCTCCGAAGGGGCCGCATCCCCGGCGGGCCTCCTGCCCGCCTTGGCGGCAAAATACCTCGCGAGGATGACGTTGCTGTACCTGCGCGTCTCCTGCAGGTCGTCGTACCGATGGGGGTCCTCAAGGCACGGCAGCACCGGCTGCCACCCTCCTCTCCTCTGCAGTTCCCCCTCCGTCTGTTTGACGAAGTCTGGAAGGTGGGCCGGCTCAAGGGCTGCGCACCGGGTGCAGAGCAAGCGATGAGAAAGAATGGGACATGAATATGCGAAGCAAAAGTAGCGCACTGAAGCTAAAAACGAGCATTTCCTGTTTGCTCTCTTTCTGGAAAGAGTTGCGCTGGGTGCCCGTTGTTCCTGTTGTCGCAGACGTCAAACGACCGGTGTACTGCACGTGGCATCGTATATATAAGTATATATACGCATCGTATATATCTTATATAAGACAGCGCCATGTGTCAGGCACAAGCGAGCAGATCGCCAACAGGTCGGCGACTTTGTAACCCATTTCGGCCGTGAATGCAAAGCCCAACAGAACATCGACGGGCACTCGGCGGAATTCCAACAAGCACCTGAAAGCGCTCGCCACTGCTGCCACTGAGATATTGCAGAAACTGACTCGTGCGGACAGCCCGCAAGGTGGAGAATGACTTCGCCGTTTTTCGTGCGACGCCGCGATCTGGTCTGGACGGCCTGTCTCGAGAGATTTCTTATGCCTAGTTGAAACAACTCACCGGTGCCAGTTCGCGTGCGCGCACAGCGCAACGATTGCAAAAAAAGAAGCTGAAAGAAAGCAGTGCATGGTGCACAATGCGATGCTGCAAAGAAAATTGCAAATAAATGACGAACAGACAAACACGGTATCATTCCCAGGATTTATCGCATTGTCGCCCACTCTCCGTTGCGAGGCGACCTCACATTCCACGTCCAACCGGCACGCGTCCATGACGGTGCCCGTCTGGCTGGGCCTGCCCTCCGCCGCCGCCTCCTTCGGCGCCCTCCCACGCTGCAGGCTCCTCTGACGCCTCTGGCTGTCGCGCCGCCGCACCGCCCCCACGTTGCAGGGCGCCACGCCCACCAGCTGCAGCATGTCCTCCACTAGGCACCCCTTTATCTTCAGGTCCAGCGGTGAGGAGGCGGCCAGGTCGGGGAAGGTGTTCACCTCCAGCAGCCAGGCGCGCAGGTGCTCGTCCAGGATGATGTCGAAGCCGAAGATCTCGAAGCAGCTGTTGCGCTGGGGCACGCGCACCTGGATCTGGCTGTTGATCTTGGAGTCCACGCTGATGAGGGCCAACGCCGTGATGTCTCGAATCTGGGGGCGGGGAAAGCTTTCACGATTTGCGCGGCCTTGCTCAGCTTGATCGCCGTGTTAGAAATTCCGGATTGGAATATCCTGGCGTCTGTGTGGGATGATCGCCGAAGCTGTGGTGCCATAGGAGGTGAGTGTGCAAGCAGTTCGAGATATCTGTGGTACATGCACACATGGTGCAAATGTTGTTTGGGGAAATCCGAAATTCGCGAAGGCAGGGGCCTTTCCTTTGTGGCCCTATGGGCGTCTGGACGCGCTTCACAGCATACGCGAAATGCGAGATCAATCAAAGTTCATCTGGCCTTCGGCAGCGGCCAAGGCGCAGTGTAGTGTTGCGCCATATAAAGCAATACTTCGAAGTACACACGAGCAGATTTATCCCAATTTCTACTCCGACTATTCACACTTTCCAACCGAATAGGAGGATTCTGAGAGATACGGTCTTTCTCAGTGAGGAGAAAGCCGCAAAATGGTATTGGGCACGTCGCCATTTCACTGCGCAGCGCG